GGGTTGTTGACCCCCAAGGGTTGACTGTCCCAGGGGTTGACTGTCCCAGGGGTTGTTGACCCCAAGGGTTGACTGTCCCAGGGGTTGTTGACCCCAAGGGTTGACTGTCCCAGGGGTTGTTGACCCCAAGGGTTGACTGTCCCAGGGGTTGACCCCAGGGGACTCCCTTGCCAAACTGGACCTGACTTCATCTTCTTTTTTTTTGTTGTTTTCCCTGTGAGTGAAGACAGAGGCAGCATTTTGAGAGAAGAAGACAGCAGCTTCAATCCCAAGGGTTGTCCGTCCCTGGCCCCGGCGCTGACCAGAGCGTGCCCAGGAGCAATGGCCCGGCCGCGGGCACTCGATGTCAAGATCAGGAGGAAAAGTCCCTGGACATTCATTGTATCGAACTTCTGGTCAGAGGAGAGGCTCCTCTTCAAGTCGCTGCACGACAAGCTCGTCAAACGATCACGATTGTTAATCATGGGCGTATCGCACGGTACGGGGACGGAAAGCCTGCTTTGCATGCCAGTACTGGCAGTGCCGCGGTTCGGATTGATCGACAAGGTGGACAATCTGCCAATTCTCTGTCTGCAGAGCATCAGCATCAGACCGAAGAGCTGCACGCCCCACAGGCCCATAGCTATTCTCGACAAGGGTGTGGGCCCAGGAGGGACGACGGAGCAAGCGGAGGAACTGATGGCGCAGGTGTGCATCAGAGTCCAGGTATGAGAATTAAGTTCAACTGCCAGAAAATTTGAAAAAAGAAACAAACAAAAAACAATCCAGGTACGAGAATTCACTCGCCTGGTCCCTCGGGACATCCGTTAAAATTGGAACGATACAGAGAAGATTCGCATGGCCCCTGCGCAAGGATGACACGCATAAATAGAGAAATGGTCCAAACTAATTAAAAAAAAAAAAAAAAGCATAAAAATGATAAAATAAATAAAAGGAATTCACTGGCCTAGGTCTGTTTTTTTAAGCCGTTGAAGTTTTCTTCCCATCCCTAATGACCCTTCTGCTCCCTCCCTCTTTCCCCGTGTCTCTCCAACCAACTGTTGGGCCCAGCGGGAATTGAACTGGAGACTGGCCCAAGTGTGCAGCAAAAACAAGTTGCGTTTATTTTGCTTTTCAAGTTTTCTGGCAGTCAGACTGGAACCGGGGACCTCCAAAGTAAGCATATACTGTTAGCTGATCTTGGACACATAGGACCCTATAGGACCCTATAGGACCCTATAGGACCTCTAAAATTCTCTAGGCCAGCAGAGCCTGGTAGGACCCTGTAGGCCCAGGCAAAATTGGCATAGCAAAAAGTGACGAGCTAGGAGTACAGCTCATTCATTTTTCACTTGGTGATTTTGGTGGAGTGAAGAGAAGGAGCGGTAGCACCAATCTTGGCTCTTGGCAGCTGAAGGAGAGGGTTTGGGCGCAGCCATAGCCAGTGTGTTCTAGCTCTATACTGCGCGGTTTTGAGTGCCGTTTGTTGCAGACTGCTCAGCATACATGCCAGCGGACGTAGAGTGGAAAATTCCGCACGTTTGGTGCACGAGCACATCCGCATGGCATGTGCGGCGCATGGGGGAAATATTCACTCAAAAAACCGAAGGGGTCGCATGGCTTGGTCAATGGTCACCTGCATCCCCTTTAAAGATTTGTTGTGGGATGGACAGGAAAAAAAAAGTACTGGGGGTAGGGTAATGCTGCTACCTATGGTTCAAGATTCAAGACTGATGTCCCAGACACCTTTTTCAGGCTATTTCTCACGCCCAATTGGTCGGAAATAAAGGCCGGAAATAAAAATATGTACGACTGCACTTGAAAAAGATCAGTTCCTTAGGTGTTGCACTCTTCTGTATCTACAAAAACAGCAAAAAAAAAACTGAACAAAAGGGGAACTGCCCCTGGTACCGCGCACGAGCAGGTCCCCCGCCGCACTCCGTACGGCGTACCGTGCTGCCTGGCCGTCAAGTGGACATCATCTTTTTCTTTTTTTTTCATCAACTTCAAGTGTGCTGGTGTGTTTGAGCAATATACGAGGCCTTACAACAAGCTCGTAATATTATGAGCTTGCTGTAAGGCTTCTCTCCAAATTGAATAGCGATTGCCATCATCAAGACTGGTCTTCACTTCAGTTGGTTTGAGTGCTGTGCATGCATTGGAAAGAAGTTTGAAGTTTTCTTAGTTTTGCAAATTCCTAACACCAACCAAGGAAGTGAGTGCTTTTTGTTTACCAGAGATCATTTGCATTGTTTGAGTCAAGTTAGTTGTTGATGTTTTGAAATCATTTTCCATTCTTTTTTTTTTCAAAACCAGGGCCTTATCAGTGATTGCAGTTTTTTAAATTTTTTTTCGTATTAAACAGCACTGTCAGTTTAGCAGGTTCACTCCACCTTTTGCGCACACTTCAGGTCTACTACCACGACAACCTGACTCTTGTCTGGACAGACGAAGCAGCGATGGGAAGGGCGCACCTTTACTTTTTCAGGGGTGAAAGAGTGTTTGACATAGTTGCGGCGCTCTACTGCGGTGTGCAGTGCGCCATGCGCAGAAAAGTGGCGTGTGTGCTATTGCGCCCCCCCCAAAAAAAAAAGCCGTGTGTGTGTGTGTGTGTGTGTGTGTGTGTATGTGTGTGTGTGTGTGTGTGTGTGTGTGTGAGAGAGAGAGAGAGAGAGAGAGAGAGAGAGAGAGAGAGAGAGAGAGAGAGAGAGAGAGAGAGAGAGAGAGAGAGAGGTCACTGCACGGATTGTGGGTGATGTAGGCACCCACTTGATGACGGTATTGGACCCAAATCGTCATCTACGTACATTTGAGGCATTTCTCTCGACTAAAATGTACACAGGCGACGGTGTGGGACAGATACAGTCATGATGTGGCTGCGTGCAACGCCCACTATTCATGAAGTGACCATTGTCGTGAAGTGACAGTCCAATACAGTCATGATGGTGTGGTGTTTTGTGTCAGTTGGTGTCAGTTTGTCCGTACTTTTTTTTCTTTCTTTCTTTCTTTCAGAACTCTGAAACAAGTCGTTTGGCCTCGCTCCACTGCTCTCCACGTGCCAAAAGACAAAAAATATGACGGTGCAATGCAGGCCATTTTCTCATTTCTGCAAGGTGGGGAGGCCACATAACTTCAGAACCCCGTTCTGTTTTTTTTTTTCTTTCAGGCAACCCTATTTATTGCCGTGCGTCGCATCGGGTGCGGTGCGCGAGGTGCACAACACGTGCGCTGAGGCGCGCACCCGATGCACCGCAAGTATGGTGTTTGATCATCTTGATCACGAATGATGATGATGATGACGATGAATGATGGTGACGATGGATGATGATGATGATGATGATGATGATGACCGTTTCTGATGTATGCACATTGTTTGTGGAGTTGCATGCAGGTCGCTCGGTCTCGATGTTTCTTTCCGAGTCGGACCTTGAGATTAGAAGTGGCATTTCAGATTATCATGGAGATGATGTCGCATGGGGGCAGTTTGATGGCATCAGATCCCCACTATGTTATCAAAAGAGTCATCTATCAAGCCGCTCAGTGCTCACCGCTGATGAACACGGGTCACCATTCAAGAACATCAATCTGGACAGTCCGGCACCATTGGGTTTCCGCCAAAAAGTCCCAAGATCTTTCTCTCTGGAATCAGATATCGATTTTCTTGCTTCCGATTTGGCCATGTCAGCTCCTCACCCCAAAAGAGCAGTGGATGAAGACTGCTCGACAACACTCAGACGTCAGTGTGAGAGCCTAAGCTGCAGAACCAGATTGCATGGTAAAGTGGGACTCGTTGAAAGTGCCACATCACCATGTTGGGAGGACAACAGCAGTCCTCAACATCACCACATCGTCAGCATGTTTTCGGAGTCAGGAGTGGAAGTGCCCCTTGAGCTTGAACTCGAAGCACAGTCATTCTCATGCAGCAAGATTTGGTCCGCAACCGACAGGCAACGATCACAGTCTTTGATGAGGACAGCCGATTCGTCATTGCTGGGAGTCCCCATAGGGAGTCCCGCTGGCATTGGGAAGCCACATCACACTGAGATAAGTCCCAATACAGTGCCAATGGGTGGCAGTGCCTCACTGACAGACAGTTTCAGCGAGGTAGACAGCGATCATGCTCGTCGTGCCGTGGAATGCAAGGTCCTTGAAGGCGGTCCTGCTTCGAAGTCTGGGTTGTTCCGTTCCATTAAGTACTGTGGTGTGGAGGAGGATACTTTTGGGGGAGAGGCATCTGCAGAATGCTCGCAACGGGACAAGAACGAGAAAAGGTATGATGAGAACGGGCTCGTCCAGGTGCATGCGTGCTATCTATTGTAAATAAGAAAAGGAATGATGAGAACAGGCTCATCCAGGTACATGTGCTGTCCGTTGTATATAAGAAAAGGTCTGAAGAGAACAGGCTCGTCCAGGTACATGCGCTCTCTGTTATATCACTGTAACGGGCCTTACCCCATTTTCCCTCATGGCATTGCATACGAGTGATCTTCAGGAGCAAGGCAACCATGATCTGTGAAATTATGAAATCTTCTTTCCTTGTTCTTTCCATGTTAAGATTGCACACATGCTGGCAAAGAATCACGAATCGTTGCCGGGATGTTTCATGGGTTTTCCGCTCCTTCCTGGTTGTTTTATGAGTCAGGTGCGGATCTTATAATCTTGGCAGCAATGCAGACTGCTAAAGAAAAACGTTGAACTGTTATTGCAGCTCAGGGCAAAGGACAATCTCAGAGAGTCAGAGGGCTTTAAGTTTCCGAGATGTGTCTACAACGACTCTACATGCAAACTGAAGCTCTCTGGGCTTTGGGACTATTATTGCAGTTCGGGGCAAACAACAATCTCTGACTGTTTCAAGGGAATCTGCATGGGATTCGATCACTTGCGTTTTAAGTTGCTAAGCAAAAAAAAGAAGAAAACGAAGAGCTTGAATATATAGTAAGAGACTAAGAGTCTGTAAGACTAAAAAAAAAAAAAAAAAAAAAAAAGTATTAAAGTTAATTAAACGGAATTTAAACCACCACTACCTTTTCCCATGTGGGCCAACATCGGGCCCCCGAAACTTTAGGAGACTGAAACAAAATGACGGCTGCTGATGAGATACATCAACGGCTGCTGATGAGATATATCAACGGCGGCCATCGTCGTTTTTTTAGGAGTATGATATTTTCCCGTTTTCCCAACAGCCGGAAAGGTAGTGGGGCTTTAAAATAATTAAGTACAATTCAGTGTTCACACACACATACACCTTCTTCCCCTTCAGGCTGCAAGACCCGGTGGCTCCCCACGCCACCTTCATTTCTCTTTCGTAGTCAGTTCTCCTTGCTAAGCAAAAAAAACAAGAAAACGAGAGCTTGATGCTGATGGCTTAATTCTGTTCTGGGGAGTGTCAATCTTGTTCCTTTCCACCAGAGAGTCAGAATATATAATAACTTAATAAGTATTAAAATAATTAAGTACAGTTCAGTGCTCACCCACACACACACTTCGCCCCCTTCAGGCTGCAAGACCCAGTGGCTCGCCACGCCACCTTCATTTCTCTTTCATAGTCAGTTCTTCTACCTCCCTGCTCTGTGCCTGTAAGATACCTTGGCCCCTCAGAAGTGCTTTTTGCAGACTCGCAGCCCCTGCCTCGCACCTTGAAGGTCTGCTTGCCATCCTCCACCATTGAGAAAAAGAACCAGGCTGAGGTACACAGGTATCCTTCTCTCACTGCACTCTTTTATCCTTCGCCAACATGTTCTGCGGAGCCCCCAAACTTCCACTTTGTGGTTTGCCTTACCCTTGTTTCATTTTTTTTAATAGAGGAAACTACACTTGTTGAAAAAAAAAAAAAAAAAAAAAAAACTACACTAGATTCTTCTCCTCTCAATTATTCACCTCACACTAGCTACCTACATACTGTGCTCTCTCTACCCATAAATCAGAGCCAGGATGTCCATGGGCACGCCACCTCTACTCTATGCTGGAAAGGGTAGTTCTTCTCCACTCTGCTCTACTCTATGCTATGCAGGGAGGAGCACCTCAGGTCCTAACCCTGGGCAAGGGATGGCAGGGGCAAGGGCCAAGGGTAGAACCCATACTCGTACCAAGACCGTCCAGGAGGGGCAAGCCAACTATCTCAGCTGGTAAACACCAAGCCCGCTGCAGGAGGCCGTGGGGGACTGAACCCGCGACCTCCTGAATGCCACTTGCATGCTCAATCAACTGAGCTAGGTCGCTGGGCCTGCCTTACCCTTGCCTTTTTTTTTTTTTATCGAAACAGGTCCTTATGGTGCTGGCTCCATGTCCATTTTGGGGAGCGTCGGTCGGGTTCCTTATCCACCGGCAAGTCGTAATGTGGAATACATGAATAGCCCACACACGCTTCCTTTCTTCTGGCCGAAGGAACCCTGATCAGCATTGATTACTCCCAACGAAGGAGGATTGACTGTCAGCTTGCCCTAGTCTATTTTCCTCTCAGATTCCCCTTTGGGGTCTGTTGAATGAAACAACCATGCTCTGGAAAAAGCCTGTGGCTTTGCTGCCTACTTGTAGGGCCTGCTGGGTTAGCAAAAGTCCTCGGAGAGGGCAGTTTGCTGTCCCGGGTTATTGTCCGCTCGGGCCGGTAGCCGGTGCCATTTCTTCCATATCAGGCGATTGTCCACTATGCGTGCTATTTTGCGTCTTATCAGCGAATCCTTGTGGAATGTTGTCCTCTTGATTGGAGAGCTCCCGGGGAGTCTCCTTGATGCCGCGATGACCTTGCGCCATCTGGATAGAATTTCTGTTTCCGCCATCTTGACTAGTGTCGCGCACATTTCCTCTTTGGCCACCTCTGTGCCTTCGATCGTGCGGGTGCATCTTCTCTTTCAGATCACCCATAATGCCAGCTTCTTGAGTAGCAGAAACCAGTTTTTCTTGCTGCCTGTGAGACTTGGGGAGGGATCAGCTAGGAGGAGGATAGTTTGTGGGGTAGTGGATGGAGGGGGTGAGGAGAATAGAGAGCCCCATAAGGCTCGGATCCTGTTCCAGAACCAGGTTGCCTGAGGGCAGAGGAGAAGGCAGTGTGGGTACGTCTCCGATCTAGTCATTGTTGCAAAGTGCTGTTGGGGTCTGAGTGTTGTCTTCGAATGTGGAGCCAGTTGTTGACCGGGAGGGCTGCGAGGGCGATTAGCCACTGCATACTGCGGATTTTGATGGGTCTGATGTTCAGGTATTGGGGCCATCGGATAGTGAGTTGGGTTTGCGGTTCTAGTTCTAGGATGTTAGTCCATTTATCGATCAGTCTGGGGTTGGGATCTGGTGTTTTTTTTTTTTTTTTTTTTTTTTTTTTAACCACCAGTACCTCCGAGCCTGTTTTTGCCGATCCTGAATTTCACTGCGCTCCAAGTTTGCCGAGCCTGGGTACCACTCCGTTTTCTTTCTGGTACTCTCACGGAAAGAACAAAAAAAAACAAAAAAGAAGAAGACAACTTGCGGCCGTGAACCTCAGAAAAGAAGGAAAAAAAAAAAAGGAAACAAAGCTTTGGCCGTGATTGCAGTTGTATACATTCTTGGAAGTAAGTGGTAGTGTGAGTGTGCCCTTAATGAGGGCATCTCAGCCAGGTGGCCAGGGGCCAGGTCCCACTAGCAGTGTTGAGTTTCCTCAATACCTGAATCTGGATGTGTCTGTGGACATGTGCAGAAATCGCGTTGAGTGTTCTCAGCCGCACATCTCCACGATCGCGTCCAGATTCAGGCGTTGAGGAAACTCAACGCTGCTGGTGGGACCTGGCGCCAGGTTGTCAGATTTCAAAAAGAGAATAAAAGGGAAAAAACGGGCACATGGATCCGGCCGTGAAAATGGCTGGATACATTCCCCTAAGTGCCAGCGTGATGAGCCTTACAATCCTCTAACAAAACACAGCTTGAGCAGATCACGGACAGCTTGAGCAATTCACAGACAGGGGACTCATATGAAACACACGACCAAGAAAAAAAAAAAACCAGTAACATTCAGAATGTGACCACCTTATCTGTAAGGTGCGTTCTGTGGAGGAAGATTGTGAGCACGGCCTCCTGGACTACCCAGCCTGACATCATTGCAGTAGAGAAAAAAACTTTTTTTTTTTCCCTTTTTCCGTTCACTCGCGGCACTATAAAATTCAGATTTATGGGACATTGCCGACCCTGTGTCCCACCCCTGGAAAGTTCGGGTACTGGCCAAGACATCGTAATTTCCCAACACTGGCGGAGGTACTAGTGGTTTAACAGGTCCTTATGGTCCTGGGGAGTGTCATTCCGGTTCCTATTCCCCCGGCAAGTCAAAATTGAATACAAAATAGTACCGACACACGCTTCCTTCCGTCGGGCCGAAGGAACACTGACCAGCATTGATTGCTCCTGCTAAGGAGGATGGACTGTCAGCTTGCCCAGACCACTTGTTCCTCTCAGGCTTCGATTTAGAGCCTGTCAGATAACTCTTTGCACAACAAGAACGGATCCGCTACACGCTATGTTGTTTGTCATTGTCCTTCTCTGTGTACCCTTTGAGTACTGTGGTTGATCGCAGTTCCGACCCTTCTGCCAGGTAGCCCGGTGGGGCCCAACCATCATTGTGGTATAGCCTGGTGCCATTTCTTCCATCTCAATTTGTTGTCTACTATCGTAGCCACCTTGCCCTTTAGCAGCCATTCTTTCTTGAATGTCTGCTTCCTGCTTGCTTGTCTTTCGGGTCTGTGTTGCATAGAGGTTGCTATTCTCCGCCATCTGGTCCTGATTTCCGTCTCTGCCATGCTCAATAGTAGAGACCACATTTCTTCCTTTGCTTTCTCGATTGTCCGGGTGCATCTGCGCTTCCATATTACCCACAGTGCCAATCTCCTGAGCAGGAGGAACCAGACTTCCCTGCTGCCCTTGATGTTGTTGGGAGTGTTAGATAGCAGTAAGATAGAGAGGGGAGGGATGTTGGGGGGGGGTGTTGAGAACAGGGTTGACCACAACTCATGGACCTTCCTCCAGATCCATGTTGCTTCTGGACAGGATAGGAGGCAGTGAGGGATGTCCTCGGGTGAGTTGTTCTTGCACAATGAGCAGCTTTCCGAACTCTCCGGGTCGGAATACTTCCTTCTTGCGTGTAGCCAATGGTTGACGGGAAGGTTTGTTTGTGCTATCAGCCATTGCATGCTGCGGATACGGTTTGGGCGGATAAAAAAGTATTCACCTCAATTTGTAAGAAGACCATAAGGCCATTTCAAGCAAAATCCACGCCAATGTATAGAGTGCACTTCTTACTAACATATTATTAAAAAAAAAAAAAAAAAAAAAAAAAAAAAAAAAAAAAAAAAAAAAAAAAAAAAAAATAAAAAAAAAATAAAAAAAAAAAAATAAATTAAAAAAAAAAAAAAAAAAAAAAAAAAAAAAAAAAAAAAAAAAAAAAAAACACCATATAAAACAACACCTAAAAAGTGCATTTTCAGGCAATTTTGGTAAAAAAAAATCATCGGAATTTCAGGAATTTCAGGATGATCAACGACACAAATTCTAATAACCCTAATGACACCAAATTTGACACACAGCAAGCTTGTCCAAAAACAAAAACAGGCAAAAAAAAAAAATCCAAAAAAACACAAAATTTGACCCCGAAACCCTAATTTCAGGATCATTCATGGTTACTCAGGGCCGAAAAGTGGGGGTCCCCGTTAACCGCTTGTGTCCAAGGTTATAGCCGAACTTTACGTCCTATTCGTTTATCCCCCTTGGTTTCTCGGTAGTGCCCTGGTCCCATATCCACTCCTTTAGGTCGAATTCTAGGTCC